TTTTTTTATGAAGGCGTGACATAATAAAAATTGTGCACCGCTGAGAAAACCGTATGATGTACAAGAGACGATGAAAACCCCAGGATTGGTGACTGACGTTATCCGGCACCAACGTTATATATGCATGGACATGCCCACGCCAACACTTTTTGCGTCATCTTAAAGAACTCAGGGTGAAAAAGAATCCTTCTCCTCCGGCATGATGCCGTAGTTCACTATAAGTACAGTTCCACGGATAACACAAATGGTGGCGCTGTGAGTGGCGAAATTTTTGCCATGAAGATCTCAGGTAGTTTGTTGGTTTCGGTTTAATACAAGAGCAGCTGGGTGCATCCTCGAACACATGCAATCGTCATTTTAAGATGAAAACACATACTACTCCGAAATATGACCAGCTACACATGTTTTATTTAATAATTGCCACTTCACAATGTAGCAATCAAAGATGGAGTCCGTTCTTTCGTGTCACTTAATAATTATGAAGTGAAGGGTCATTGTACCTCATCGCCTGTCCTCAAGTCGCGACGTGACAACCGGATAACTAGTTGCGAATGCCCCGCCGGAAATTATTAATACAGGGTTCATATTCCAAAGCGTTCAGGGATAAGTTATCCGATAACGCTGCAAAAGAATTGACGACCCTCTAGTGTTTCCTGATTTCCATCGTCGGCGATTCTCGCACCCTTGGGCTCGCTGCTATACGACGCTCTTGCCCTTGCCTTGCCTCCCACGAATAGTTTTTCATCTCGATCAATATCCTCATTCCCCAATTTGCCACATCAACTCAACCTCTTCAGTTCCACTTCCAGTCTTCGCGTCTCTCACTTACAAGACCCCATGGTTCGCATTCTCAAGCCTTTCAGTGCCGTCATCGCGACTATGCTTTGTCTCGGTCTTGCTACCGCCGACACCGCCACCGTGTCGGTCCTTGGTGATGCCACCTATACGATCCCGTCGTCTCGCGGAGAAATCTGCAAGGGTACCGGTGCGTACCCGAGTGGAACGGCTTGTCCTCTGAAGGGTGACGGAGCCAGCGGCGGCTGCAGGGAAGGACTACCATCGTACAAGCACGGCAAGTGCGTTGCCCCCAAGGTTGCTCAGTGTGTCCTTGTCTCGGACAAAACGTGGGGCTGTGCCTACCCGAATGGCGGAACCAATCCGAAGAGTGACTACCCCAAGGGAGACTACCCGAAGGGCGACTACCCCAAGAACGATTACGAACACGGCGACTACCCTAAGGGAGACTACGCCAAAGGAGACTACCCCGTGGATGACTACTCGGAAGGTGAGAAGGATACGACGGCACCGCCAGTGTACCCTGCGAAGGATACAACGGCACCGCCAGTGTACCCTG